TTCTGTATTTTGAGCGTTGACGCGACCCCTGCCTGTCAGGGTCGCTCTGTCTCAGGTCTCGACATCTTCATAGGAGCGTACTCGCCAAGTTTCTTTTTCGTCGGCAAGTCATTGGGTGATTATAATTGCTAATTCGAGATCACACCAACTGAATCACTCTGCGTGTCGACACAGATATTAATAGAACTTTGACCTTAAGCATATTTATAGAAGCATTGTATGAAATATCGTATCGGAGCGTCATGTTATGGGTTTCAGCGAGCATACATAGTATATGTACATATAGCATATCCTACGTATGTGTTAGGTAAGGAGCAGGGATAGCGTAGTCGGTATAGCGACTGTCTACGGGCTGGACGACCGAGGGGTCGGTATTAGAGTCCCGGTGGGGTCAAGAATTTTCTCTTCTTCACGTCGTCCAGATCGGCTCTGGAGTCTACCCAGACTGGTACCGGGGGTAAAGCGGCCGGGGCGTGAAACTGACCACTCCACTCCAGCTAGTGCCGAGGTCAAGAAAATGTGGATCTATACATCCACTCCCCCATACGCCTTCATGGTGTAGTGCTTAATTAGTTCAACACAGGGACAACTTTTATGTATCAGGTACAGAAAACGCGACAAACGCGAAGAAAACGAGTGTTCAACTTGAGTCACTGCTGCATTCAGTTGAGTGACTGTGACGTCAGTCACACAATGATGCTGCTACTACATACATCATTTACCAAATGAAATGACTTCTGACCCCATAGATTGGATGATTACATTTCCAGCCCTACGCAGACAGATTGCTGCAACATCCCTGTCAGAACTCAGAGTACCAGCTCACATATTAGCGTGTCTCGTATGCACACTGCGACATTTTGTTTACGGCGGCCATAGTCCCATATGCCATTGGTTCCCAAACTTCTTTCTCTGGAGTCACCATTCGAATACTGTATGTATATATTGTATATTACTTCTAGCGCCATAACCTATTTTACGTACATTAATCATCAGAGGTGGAGGTAGCATAGTTGGTTGAGGCACTATCCAACAAGCCGGAAGTTCGCGGGTTCGGTTCCCGATGAAGTAATTGGATTTTTCACCTGACCTAATCCTTCCAGCCGCACTATGGCCCTGTGGTCGACTCAGCCTCTAACAGAAATGAGTATCAGGAATCTTTCTGGTGTAAGGCCGTCAACCTCACCGCCATCTGTGAGCCGATTGTCTAGAAAACGTGGGAGCCTCAAAGTCTCACAACCCTATGGACCTCCACAGCCTGTTACAGGGATAATGTTACCTTTTTTAGCTTTAGCTGGAGGGGGGAGGAGCAGTTCTTTGGTATCGTTATAAGTAAAAATGTATATATACTATATCAATTTCCCATTAAATCTGAGCCCAAGTTTCCCCTTGCCGTCCCAAGGAAATCACGCTATCTTTGCCTATGCTAAACATAAAACTGACAGAGTGTAACAATGACTAACAGCACGCACTCAGTGGGAAGGATGGGCCTTGATGATTAGAATAGGTGACGCATCCTCGAACAAATCACCGATGTGGAATCTCGTAAGGAGTTGTCTTAAGATATCTGAATCACATAATTACTGTTGACTGAACCGCTTTTCATAGATTTTATAAGGTGAGTAAGTATGTACAGAATTTCGTAAATTGGTAGTTCAGTTTGGGCTCAGGATAGGGACCAGTGGTGGGCTCTTGTGAGCACGGTAATGAACTTTCGGGTTCCATAAAATGCTGGGAAGTTCTTGAGTAGCTGCACAATTGGCGGCTTCTCAAGAAGGGCTCAGATCCATGAGTAACTAAGTAAGTACCATCTCGTTGCGCGCCACCTAGTTTGGGGATCACTGCCATGTACGATCATATACGCTTGTGGCGGGCTCTTGTGAGCAAAGTATTGAATCTTCGAGTTCTGTGAAAAGCAGGGAATGTCTGCGTGCCTATCAGTTTGTCAAGAAGATCTGTATTCCAGGGAGATAAATTTCCCCTCCAGAGATTAGGTATTGTTCAGTGAGATGGTAAACAGTATGCAGGAGTCAGTCCAGATCTGATGAAGGTACTATTCATCTGGAGAGACTGAAAGACAATAAGAACTTGGCAGGATGACCGATAAGCTTACAAATATCCGAAATGGATACGTTCCGAAACAAATCCACGGTGCTATCGCTCTTGTGTGTCGTGATGGAAAGCACTGGGGATTCCGGTCAGCGTTTTCTAAAGTATTTTACTTCCGAGTACATACTAGTATTGTCACGTGACAGTGATTATAGACGGAGTTTGGATTGATAGTTGGATTTATTGAACTCTTACAGATCCGTGACTACACGCAATTATAGCCGTTTTACTAATTCACACATTTCGCAGTTCACTAGAGCGCACACACTTCAGTCTTCTCAGTCTGCTGTGTCTTCACCAGTCTCCTGGTAACGGCTTCTAACGGCGGATGTTCCCCTTCCTCTGGATTCCTAAACTGTCCCCGGCCTCAGCGACCAGCTTCTCACCGTAAGAGTTTACAACGACTGAACACCAACGGTTATCTCACTCACTTACTAACTCACCAAGCAATTCTTCGATTGGTCGGTCGGTTAAAACCAGCTTTTCACTGACTAACTCCAGAGATAACATCTCGGCACGGACTGCTTAGAAAACACAGTTCCTCTGCTGAAGTGCAGTTGTTGCTTATCGGTGGCATGACGTATTCCATTATTGCGTGGGCAACCATTGGTACGTACCGCACAGAAAACATTTCTCTGTTGATGTTTACGGGCCATTACTTAGCAGCAGCTTTTGTATAGTTGCTTATTTCGCGGTTATTGCCTAGCAACGGGTCTACATTTCACAGTATGTATGATTACTAATTGCATTATCTGTGGATTATGATCCCAGATTATTTCTCTGTCCTCTGTGTACTTCCAATGAGGCTCCCAGGTCATGCATTGCGGAATGCAGATAGGCATATTTGTTTGTACACGGAATAAAGATTCGGCCGCTGTCCAACTTATGTACGTGTGGCGAAAGTTAACTTGCCGTAGAGCAAGGTATTGATGTGGACACGGTTTTGGAGTGACGACACCGCGTAGATGTAGTCTGTGTTCCAAAGGTTGTGAAGATCCTTATTATCAAAGTGAAGATATCCAGTTTCTCTGCAGTGCACTGTCTCCTAGATCTTTTGATAAGTATCAGGGAATGCATCAGTCCTTATTTTCTTGTTCATGTCCAGACATGTCATCGCGACATGACTGTCTCGCTGCTCCGGCCGCGAAGAGTGCCTGGTTGCGTAAACATGCAGGAAGACTTGTGGAGCGATTCAATGATACATGCTTCAAGGAGAAACTAGAAAATCTTTTGGCTTCAGACTCACGTAAAGTACAAAGATGGATCTTCGTTTCTTGCTGTGTTAAGTTTAATGGCGTGACGTCAGACGACAGTAGGCCTGTCTGTGACCTCATGGTATGCCATCGCCCCGTATATGCAGCCCACACAGCTCTGAGCACTGCTATAAATCTATTTTCTAGCAAACGGCTGAGTAGGTGTTCACACGAAAGGAAGGTAGCTTTATCCGGATACAATAGCGGTAAAAGTAAAGTTGTCCCTGTACTTAACAAATTAAGCACTATGCCATGAAGAAGTATGGAGGAGTGGATGTATAGATCCACATTTTCTTGACATCGGGACTAGCTGAAGGTGAGTGGTCAGCTTCACGCCCCGGCCGCTTTACCCCCAGGAAATAGCCCCTCGGTACCCACTGGATGAGAGGTTAGATGGACCCCAGAACTGGTCTGGACGACGCGGAGAAAAGAAAATTCTTGACCTACTGGGACTCGAACTCCGACCCATCAGTCGTCCAGCCCGTTGCCATTCGCTGTGCCGACTGCGCTATCTGGGAATGCTTATCTAAAAGAAGTTTACGTTCCGAAAGTGGATCTGGAGTCATTACTGGCTTGAGGAAGGCTTGCTTTCAGGCGTAGCAGAGACACTTCTTGGGTTATTTAACTGTACTTTTTAAATTGAGAATTATTTGAGTGATCAGATAATGGAAGACAAGATGAAAGGGCGCATGTGCCACACGTGGGAGAGATGAGGAATGCATGAACAATATTAGTTGGACAACCTGATGGAAAGAGAAAACTTGAGAGATTTAGACGTAGATGAGGGTTTCTTTTTAATTTGCTAGTGGGTGGTGGAGTCCAACTGAGTCCACTCGGCACGGCGGCCACTGATTGGCCTATTGTTGCGTGCCCAAGGTGATAATGATGATGGAGAATTTGGTAAAATGAAGATTGGCAGGGGAAACCGAAGTACTCAGAGAAAACCCGCCCCAGGGCCACTTTGTCCACTACAGATCCAACTTGACTAGACCCGGGCTCGAACCCGGGCCGCCGTTGTGGGAAGCCAGCGACTAACCGCTTGAGCTAGGGCGCGGCCTAGATGAAGGGTTTGACCTGATTTTAAAAAGAATTTTGAATAATTGAAGGTTTACCGTGATTCGTGAGCGTCTTTCCATGAGCAAATTTACTGAAGAGAATGTTTACTGCATTATATATATATTCTAGCGTATTTGCTCGAAACAAGAACTGTGGAGGCTGAGAAAGAGCCGTTGCTAAGTAACGGCCTGTACACACGTTGTGACGTCGTTGCAAGAGGCGTTCTCTGACACTATTCTATCATATTCCTGGAAGAACTGAGAGAAACCACAAGAAACTCAGGGTGTCTCGGCCGAGAATCAGACTTCCCGAAAACAGTTCAAACTCTTTACCGCCTGACTCACTTTCTCTTTGATTTGACCCTTACTTCGCATTTGAGCGTGTAAGAGTAACAGTGCACAAGGCTCTTGAAAACTTTCATTTTTGTGGTAATGACCTCCTATCCTATTCGTTACAGAAACGGAGAAAGGTAGAGCCTAAATACGGATATAGCCCAACTGTCTGAAGGATGGGCATTTCGAATTTGTGTTCAGTTTTACGCTATAAATTGGTGAAATGATGTTGACTTGTTACCTGTTTCAGTTAAACTGCTGAGATGGCAGGAGTCATGCTGTTTATCCTAACAACTGTTTTGGCAGCACTGACTACAGTGTCAGGACATTCTTATCACCTGGGAAATTGTCCGAATGTCGAATCACAGCAGAACTTCGATATGGAAAAGGTAAGTAAAATTAAAAAAAAAAAACTCCGTTCCCTGTAGTCCACAAGCGAACTATACCGACCGAGCGACCGCCACTTGTCGGAGAAGTTAGTGCCAACTTTAGCGGATAGAGGGTGTCGCGTAGTCAGCGCAACGAATCCCCACGGCCGTTAATTTCGGTTTTCTAGACCGGAGCCGCTATTTCCTTGAAATAGCTCCTCAATTATCCTTTCATATCACATCATTATTTAAAGTACGTTTTACATATACCGATCACAATGGCCGCGCTGTCTAAGGCATGAACTGGCTTCATCCGCTCGAACACTGGGATCGTGGGTTCAAATCCCACTCAAGGCATGGATGTCTGCTGTACTGCGACCATGGAGAGAGGTTCCATGGATCGACCCCCTCACATCTCCATCGATGGGTTACGCTTTCCCCTCAACCGTCTACCTATTCAGTGCACGCGAACGTTGCTGCAGTTGCAACCACGTGATAACCTTCGTTAGCGACAAGTATTTTGGGTCAGATGCTACTGGGGGGAATGCAGCAGAGGTTGATAAGGGGAGACTTCGAACGCCGTCATCCCTACCGAAATAGGACTTCTTTGTTAGGTCTCAGTATAGAACTGTAGAAACCACGACACCCTTCGTTTTGTTATTATGCATGCCGTTATCATTGTCACCACCATCATCATAATCAAGAATTACTTAGGACTGGCTAAGGGCTGGACAGTGTGGGCCTGATTCCCAGCAGTCTAACCCTGGGATTCACCGAAGTGCGCCAATATCTAGGCCTCATATTTGCAGGAAGCAAGGCTTCTGGAGGGTGAAGATCACTTTATCTTTACCTATATAATCCATTAATGAATGTTATCATTGTAGAATTTAATTATAATCATAAAGGAATTTTATTCACTTTTATCATTTCGCGTACTATTTAGCGACTGTCTGAACGAGAAGACTGTTCAGAATTACTGGGGTTCAGTCTTTGTCCATTGTCCGGTATTATAGAAACTAGAAAACCCTACATTTCATAAACTGGATCTGTTTCCGTCCTCAGATGAGGGGAGGGGAAGACACCTACTTAATTTGTCCCTTAGCAAGAGCTAACCAGTGATTGAGGTTAGTTCTTTCTAAGGGACTCAACAGAATAGGTGTCTCCTCCCTCACCTGAGGACGAAAACAGATCCAGTTTCCAAAACATTGTGTTTTCTAGTATCTAGAATACCAGACGACGGACAAAGTCTGAAAACCCAGTAATTATGAGTGTTATACACCATCGTCAGAACCCTTTAGAATGTAGGAGAAGACTGTTATTAGTATAAATCCCTGAGAAATCCTATAGGCGTTGCTTAAACCACAGTCCGTCAACAAGAATTAACCTATGCCATCCATATGGAAGTAACAGGATCACTTCGAAAATTAGGTAGTTGGTATTTTTTGGGGGCAGCAGGCGGACCATCCGCCAATTAAGCCCAAACGTGACTCCCCTGTTCTATGAGACGGGGAATCACATATTTATTAGCCAGTCTTCCTAGGTAGAGCGGTGGTCTGTTGTTATTATTGTTTGTTATTATTGGAGGGGGTGGGTTTCCCCATGCACCGCGACCAGTTTGATCTATTATGCGTCCCCCTATGATCTTCTACCAGCCTCTATACCCTACCGGTACTGGTGCTTACCATCAGTCCCTACTCAGCCAGCGAGGTCGGCCTCTACTGGCTCAGAGGTATCTCGATGCTTCCCCCATCTACCAGAGGCGTTAGAGACTACTGTTGGGCGGGAAATGTCCTTAATTTGGCTCAGAAGTCTCCTTGAGACATGAGGTTCTTTTACGTGCCGTAAAGCTACGACACGGGACCCACAGCTTAAAGTCCCTCCCGGAGGACTTGTTTCCTGAATTTTTCCGCCCTTAAAATTTCCACGACCTCCGCCGGGTTTGAACCCTCGTACCTTGAGTCATGAGGTGGGAACGTTACCCCTAGACTACGGAGGCCGCTTGGTCTGTTGTTGGTCAACGTACTTGCCATTTGTCTCAAACGTCACAGTCAGTGAACTGAAGAAGACAGAGGTTAACTTTCGAAACATCATGTGTACTAAAACTGTACCTTAAACAGTAGACAGTGTACAATATAATACTGAGATGATGAATTAATCCTTGTCACAACAGCTCAAAATCATAAGAATCATCCTCAAGGAAAGTTTACAGGAAATGAAATCTGGCCACAAATGTGATTAGCAGATATAGAAGACTAGAAGGAACCACTCGCGAGACCGCAGAGTTCACGTGACCCCTACTTCCCGTTGAGCCATCTACGTCACACTGTGTTTGTTACAAATTATTAAGGATATTACGTTAATTTTTATTAACCGCTTCCCATTCCACACATGAAATAAGGCAAAGATTTTCAAACTACTTCATCTGTGGTCAAGGAAATACGTATACAGTTCACAGTGTGCTCTTCTTCCCAGAACCTAACAAAACAATTTGACGTTTCATGAACACTGTTCTTAGCATGTAAATGAAGGAAAAATAACAATTAATGTACAGTGCCATAAAGAATCTTTACTAAAAGTATATTAAAATAATCTAGGAATATATTTTATTCACACAATTCAAACAAAACAAAAAGACTATTTCAATTATCAGCACATGAGAAATAAATAATTAAAATAGATAGGTCTCTGTTTCGTATTAAACATACTTCAAAAGTGGGCAAACACGGGTATCCGATTTTTCTTGTCGATACGTGGGAGATATCTGCCTTTACTTTGAGAGGTAAACATGGGTATGGCTCGGCCACACTCTTTTCTTTGGTTTAATTATGTTACGTCATTTGGTTAAAATTAGCGTAGTTAATTTACAATCAGAATTGTTCTATGTTTATGAATTGTGCTTGTTACAAATGAAGAAGATGCATATCAGAGCGTCTGTTTTACGCAGCTTAAGAAGTTTTTCATTGGCAAGATAATAACGTTAGTTCACCGTGAACGCAGTCTAAGAGTAAATAAACACTTCACACTCTTGTAACAATGGGACGCCAGCTAAAACGAATGTACACGTAGAGCAAGCATTTACTGCTGCATCATGCAACACAGAGTATAAGAGAAGACAGCGCTAAAAGCAAACACAATAAAGGAAACGACATAAAAACATTGAAATAGCCGCCAGAAAAGATACAATGAAAGTATTCTACGAAAGAAACTAATAACAAAGAAAATGATATGCCTAAGGGCACAGAACTGTTACTATTCCAGCCACAGGGTGTCAATAACTTCGCCGACAAGCGGCGGTCGCTCGGTTGGTATAGTTCTCTTGCGGACTACAGGCCACGGAGTTGACACAGAGTGTCATAGTGCGACATATTTTGTATGTCAGCTATGAATTTGGCATTTCTTTAACACTTAACATTTCTTTCAGAACCAGGTTTGCCTGAAATACTCTTTTAAGTCGTACCAGATTTCTCGTTAGCTTTCAGTTCTAGCTGCCTTGGCTTGTCTCTTTAATATTTTTTTTATTTATTTATTAAGCAATCAGAATCTACAATTCTATAAGCTAGTTTGCTGGCGTAAGAGCTGTGATGCTCTTTTATGACTTGGTGAGTCCCTTCCCCAGTGGGAGGTTCCTCATTAGTTTTCTTTTAGGTCAGCTGGCCAGTGTCTTCGAAGTCTTCGATTGTGCTGTAGGATGTCGTTTGGGAGATTTGCTAGTTTGTTGTGGTGTGATGTACTTTTTTCTCTGATGACGTCCTTGATGTATGGTATATTTAGGTCTGTATGTAACGTTTGATTGCTCACGTATCAGGGTGCATTTGTTATAATTCGGAATATTCTTTAATATTTGATAGGCCTACTGTGGTCGTCTGGGTTATGACGTCGTTAGGTGGTTGCTAACGTCTCAGGGGATTTGCTGCCTCAATCTTCAGGGTATTCTTGGTAACCTTCTACAAGACTACACAGCATCATAATCCAGAAGAACACGCTCTAAATTTCTCCTGCCTCATATATGTGATTAATGTTGTATTCCACAGTTTCTGGGGAAGTGGTACGTGGTCCAGAAGACGTCAACAGGCAGTAAGTGCCTCACCGAAACATATGTCAAGTCCAACGAAACTGGGAAGTACGTGATCCGACAAGTGAGCGAGCATCTGATCTTGGGACTCACGAGTCTCAACCATGAGTACACGTATGAGGGTGAGCTCACCGTGCCCGAAACCTCCGATCCCGCCAGGATGACGGTTCGATTCCCTTTGAGTGAGTAACCTTCCGAAACACGTTCATAGTTGAGTAGGTTCCTTGTCGCTGTGGCGTTGCATGCCTTCAAACGGCCTCAGGCGTGGAGGTATAGCTGCGAATATGTTAAATATGCAGCCACAGACAGCCGACAAGAGGCAGTCCTTCAGCTTTTGGATTGGGTAATGGATGCACAACCCCTCGCAATGAACTATTTGAAGGACCCTGCTTCACGAAGTCAGTCAGATGGTCTGAATAGTAAATAAATGATATTAAGTAACTCTGTAGAGCAGGGTCCTTCTTCAAAACCTGATAGTCGTACAGGTAAACAAGAAATTCCTTGCCTTTTTTTTGGAAACCGGAGATACATGAAACTTTCTTTCCTAAGCCACACGAATCTAGTCTAGGCCCTTACATCATACGATATTTATTTTAGATCCGTTTTAATATTATCCTCACATCTAAGCTAGGGCTCTCAAGTTTTGCGCGTTGCATCAGCTTCTCATCCTCAGTGATTTGTTCAGTCTTAATGATCATGGTGAACAGGACGAGTTATGGAATTTCTCACTGTGCATTTTATGGCGCTCCGTTCCTTCGTCTTAGGCTAAATAATTCTTGGCACCCTGTTCCATCCCCCATCCGTATACGCCGTATATTTGTCCCTTAATATGAGAGGTGTAATTTCGCTGCAAAGCGACAGGTGACAGTAGAGTTTATAACTTAATCTAAGCGTTTAGGCAGAAGATGGGAAGACGAAATGTTTTTAACCGAATGGTAATACGTAATCTCAAGTAACCTGCCTAGATGCCTATGAGAAGCAACTTTGAAGGTTACTCTCTTCTGGGATGACTATAGACGAGGTTTAGATTTGTAATTGGATTTATTGTATACGTACAGATCGTAACTACAAGTACCTATAGCGCAAACGCTAATTCACACACTCTACAATTCACTGCATCACGCACTAAGTCTTCTCAATCTGTTGTTTCTTCACCGGTTGTCGCCTGGTTACGGCTTCCAACACCATAGATTCCTCAGCTTCCGTGTTCACGTCCTTACTGCCGGCGACTATCTCACGACTAACTCCTACTCTTCTAACTGCCGTCTCAACACTCTCACATAATCACAGCTGCTCCTCGCTATGTATCCTCGACACGGACCGCATACAAAATACTTCTCCCAACAGTTTGTTTCTGTTGCTGCTCCACGTAGCTCTCGCACTGACCCCGTAAAGAACACTGCTTCCCAGTTATTCCATTGTTGCGTGTTACGAACCTGTTGCGGACATTACCTGGCAACGGTTGTTGCATAGCTGCTTATTTTGCCGTCGTTGCCTAGCAACGGGTCTACATGCCAAAGTACTTTTCTACCAAACTAGTCTGGTTCATATCCGTTCATATTCACTGCCGCGAGAACCTTAGACCTCACACGTAAACTTAACTTTGCAGGTGTGGCTGGCAGCGCTTCCTACATCGTGTTTATGACAGATTACGAGACCTACGCTGGAGTGTTCACTTGCCAGAAGTTGGGTTTCGCCCATCGCCAGTCTGCCTCCATCCTCTCACGGTCCCCCCGCCTGGACAAGATATACGTGGACAAGGTGAGAGATAGAAATCAGATTACGTTATCTGACAAACAGGCACAAATATTATGTTAGTTGCCTTGTATGCAGGCAACACTTCTAACATAGCTGAAATATGGGTGTCATGTGTTTCAGGTGTCACGTTTAAACCAGACCCAATGGATAGGTCGGGATAGGAATTCTGATATTATTTTCTGTGTCGAAGTGACATTTTGCCCCGTCTCTAGTACAGACTAAAGACGAGGTCGGTCACGCTCTGATAGTATCGTTTGGTTGCTGCATGTGCAATGCGATATTCAGACCTGAAGAAAATAGACTGTGTGGGGGGAATGAAATTAATCTTAAAAGAGTAAGATGTGACGTTGTGAACTGAATTCATCTGCTGAATGCGGTATCCATTAAATTTGATCATTAAATCCAAAACCCGTCTTAATAGTCACGCAAACTCCAGATACATGACAATAATTATAATAATAATTTAAGTATTTATTTACGAGCTGATCTCAACAGCCATCGGCTAACAACAGAAGCAATAAATAATGTTGCGCTGGTACAGTGGTATAAAGGAAACCAGACTGCGAATCCTAGCGTCATTATTTCGCCTACAATTTCAGATCCGAAATCGTCTCAGAGATTACGGCGTGGACCCATATGACCTGAGCCTCATCGAGCACAGCTGCAACCCTCCGGATGAAGACACACTAGACATTAACATCAACCCCACGACGTTCACCGCTGGCAGCGTCGCGGGTGTCGTGAGAAAGGCGGGTGAGAAACTGGGGGATGGCATTGAGGCAGCTGCTGACGGCGCCTCCAGCCTGTATAACCGTTTCCATGGTAGCAGCAACAGCAATGCCAGTGTGAGGAGAGACCGCGAGGAGGTCACCAACGACCGCCACAACCCGAGGAACGACGCTGAATGGCTGCGCTGAGCGGCTGTCGTAAACCAGAACTCAGCCTCATTTGCTGGTGTATAAGATGCGCATGATTTCAGTGTTTACGTCACAAATCTTTGATGTGAAGGGGTATTGTGGTGATTTTTTTAAGACAAATGCGTCTTATACAAAGGCGAGTAGAGTCATATCCTCGAGAGTGGAGAAATTTGAAACAACATTTGATACTATATGTTGAAACAGGTTTCTTGATATCCATTTTAAGGATTTCAAATAAGACTTTGTTTCTAGAGTTAGTTTCATACAGTTTTTTTATCATATATAAAACTACGTGTAAGGCGGTAGCCATGGATTATCTGTCAGCACAGAAAGGAAAGCAAAGTTATATGTTCTGATTATAATATTACCATCAAATTACTTAGTAGGGAGAACCGAGGACACAAACCCGTCAGCATGACGGAAAACCGATTAGAGAACGTTATATCGGATGAATATTTTGTAATATGCTACCAGAACTTGAGGAATAAATATATTTCTTGAAAGTACAGAGAAAATACAAATGTTCTAAACTTAATTCGAACAAACTGAAGAATAAATAATTTAAATTAAACACACATGTTTAAATTTCGCTACATCCTTTGACTCTCTGACCTTTTTTTTAACAGTAAATAAGGAATTTCTGTCAGGGCTATCCTGTGACAACTAATGAAATGGTTTTTCAGGAAGAAGACATGCATAAATCTATAGGAAATATGCGGACTTCATAAAAACGGGCAAAGCTGGTTGAATGGGGCATTCAGATGAGCAGTACTTGTATGTATTAATTAAGAAGAAGAGTAAAGATCAACATAGGCTACACCAAAGTGTGATAATTTGTCCACCTGGTATTTCAACATACCGAAATTCTATACACATGTTTCAACAAACCGGGTGAAATAGGGAACAATGGAGGAAATACGTTTATGTGTATCATGTACGGTATAAATTAACAGTTTAAAAAATGCCAAAAAGCAAGAGCTCTGAAAAGGAATTGAAGCGAAAATATGAAATTTATATCGTATTAATAGCTAGATTATTTAACAGATACATCAGAATTATTACTTTGGATTCTTCATATGCAACAAAAAGTATAATTTAGTTATATATAAAGGTACTTTTCTGTCAGACGGTTTTAATATTAAATTATAGTTTCTGCGTCTTCGTAAAATATTCGCATTTACTATTTATTTCTAAAAGGGAGTAAACTTAGTTTTATTAACATTTTCCACATTCCGTCTACTCTGATTAATATCATGATATCACTAATCAAAAGAAACATTTACCTTTATTCGGCAGTCAAAAATATGAAACTACAGTTTTCAATTATGAAAATTACAGATGTATATGTAAATGTGCAAGCAAACTTTCAATAAAGCATTCGACACTGAAATAGTTAGGAATTCATATTGATAAGGAGCTCCAATAATTATATATTTATAACGATATCAACCTTAACTAGGCCGTTTTGAAGTACAGTACAGCATTGCAAACCAAACGAAAATTATTTTGCAAGAGCATCTACTTGTAAGTTTGCTTATTAACTGTGTGAAATCGGTATGTCGTCCCTTAGTAACAACAGTTCTCCCGTACAAATCTAGCAGAGTATCAGGCGTTGTTTTATGCGTAGTTGAAGACTGTAAACCAGAGGATGTCAGGGTTTTTCACCTCTGGAAACGTGTTAATCCAGGACACGATCGACAAATGTGTGATGTCATATTCGTATTTTACATCATGAGGTCATGTTTATGTTGGTACTGTCGAAATAATTTCAATCATGTGATTTCCCCAATCTGACATCGCTATATCCTTACATAAGAACGTGTAATATTTTTAATATTTAATAAAAATATTATCTAACGTAAGAATGGTTGCCTATATTAAGTTATCCATTGAGTAAATATTAAATTGTGATATGGATGGCGGTATATTATATCACTTCTGCCTTATTTTACTCAGAATTCAAGAATTCGTCGATATTTTATAGATTTTGAAAATTAACAGTCATATAAATCCGGTATTCGTGTATTTGCAGTAACGTACTAAGCAAGTTGGCTTCTGACTTGTATTCATAAGGTTGCCTGGTTCGAATCTCGGCCGGGACACCAACTTTGCATAAGGATTTTCGTGGGTTTCCTCTGCATTTCAAATCCCATATATTACCTTGAAATTGGCCACGACACTTTCTTCCATATCCTTTCAAATTCATAATTCAACAATCATCCTGCCATTCAACGCTATATCATATGAGCTACTGATAAACTGTAGATAAAAGTGTCACGTGTTACTGACTAGACGCGGATTAAATTTATCCAACTCTTTTAACTCGCAACTGCAGATATTCACAATAGTCTTACAAACCTACACATTTCATGAATCACTACTGCATTTACTGTAAGTCTCCTCAGTTTGGTAGGTCTTCATTAGTCGCCGCTAGGTAACGGCTGCTAACCACGGATGTTCTGCATCGTTGCTCACAACTCAAGAGTCAGAGTTACTTTACGACGGTCGGTTTACCACCAATCAGTTCGTCTCGGCGTAAGCCTCTTGAGGCTCACGACAAGAGATTTCTTTTCACAACTGACTCGGTTGGTCGGTTAATTTACTGCTGGTTCTCGCCAGCACAGTCATTCCTGGCTTCAGTCTCCTCGAGATCCATGAACAAGAGTCTTATTCCTTCCTAGATATGTATATTTGTTTGATGAAGTAGGAGCGTGTTTACCGGTCGTTACTTGGAAACGGCCTTCTCTTCAGGCTCCACTATTCCGGCCTTCAGCCCTCACGTCACAATAAGATATATCTCTATATCTAAATGCAACAATTCAGATTGTAATTTCATGTTTGAGAGAAATGGTAGCGCGCAGCTGAATACATACTGTCGCAGGCCGGTAATTTGGATGAGAGGCGTGTGACTTTGCAGGAAGATGAACGGCCTACCCTACAACACAATGCACGCGGGTTTCCACGTCTGACGAAGAGTCCAAGAGAACATCAAACACAATGCTAACAAAAATGATACGTATACCACAGACAATATGATACATCGTAATTCAGCGAAGTTCGGTTAGACTAAACCTGAACGCTTATTTTAAATTACAGCAGGTAGGCCCTGCAATATGAGTACCTGGAGATTTTTCCCAGAGGTGGCCGGAGCGTGAAACTAACCATCAACTTCAATCTACTGGCGAGATTAAAATTACGCGGAATGTTAGATTCCACAGCAAGTGTACTTTAGTGTCTTACTGTCTCTTCTGAAATATCTAACGACCCATTCCTGTAACGAATGGCAAAGGGGCCAGGGTGAGGACGGTAAAGAGAGGGAGAAAAATAGAATAAGGAAGAATGCGAGAGAATATAAGTACGAAGGAGAAATGCGAACTAAAAAACGTTTAAGGTAAGAAGAAGTTAAAGCCATCCCTGTAACAGGTCGTGGAGGCCCATAGGGTTGTGAGACGTTGAGGTTCCCATATTTTCTAGACAATCGTCTCAAAGATGGCGGTGAGACTGTCAGTTTTAAGCCCTGGCATTCCTTTACCCCCAGGAATATTCCTGGTACTCATTTCTGTTAGAGGCTGAGTCGAACCTAGGGTCATAGTTCGGCTGCAAGGATTTTGTCACCTGAAAAAATCCAATGACATCGGATATCGAACCCGCGACCTTCCGGCCTGTAGCATAGTTCCTCAACCAACTACGCTACCTCGTGCCACGCTAAAACCGCTTACAATTCATTACTATTTAGTCTGAATAACCATAGGGCAGGAGGAAGGGTTAGGTCAAATAAAAAATCCAATGACCTTATCGGAAATCGAACCTGCGGCCTTCCGGTTTGTAGCATAGAGCCTCAACCAACTGCGCTATCTCGTGCCACACTAAAACCGCTTACAATTCATTGCTATTTACTCTGAATATCCAACTTTGATCTGTGTCAAAAATATGGGATATGAACCGTGTAGGTAAATGGATTGCTTCTTTGTATCTAGTATTAAGCGCAAAGCTAGCTGTAATGGAAAGCTATCGAGGTAAGTTGAGGTCCCCTTAAGAACTAGATGTACTGTAGCCTGGGATGTTATCGGACACCACGAGGCAACGATACGGGGCATGGCCAAATGTTACACTTCGCTCGTGTGTAGACCTGCACATTATAGGGGCAAGTTCATATCAACTATTGACAAATATCCATTTGTTTATTTTTGGTGTGTAAACAAATCATGTGATTTATATGTGTTCCTGCATGCGGGTCGGAACTTTGGCCTTGGCCTCTTCTTACTGCTAACTGCTGACCGAAAATAACTTCTGAATCAGGAATTGGTTTTAGCAATACCACGAGTATCTTCAGGGAAGTGAAGTCGTATAGTGTGGCAAGAGTTTACCGGCGTTTCAAAGGAATGCACTGCCTCCGTCGTCAGGGTCGAATAGTAAGCCAAACAAGCAACTTGCTTACTCGGTTTACTCTTCAACCCTCAAGACGGAGACTTCTTCTGAAAATTCAGTAAACGCCCACCAGGCTACGCGGCGTAAATTCCAAGAAAACGGTATACAAAACGTAAATTTACATTTCGACAATAAAATGAAATATAGGTTATGGGCTAGCGCTGATGGTCATGTGATTGAATGCTAGTACAGTACATTTGTTATTGCAAATCTGTTACAGATTATTAATAGCATCATCATCGTTATCATAACCTCTTTCTCATCCCTCGAATGTCGATATATATTATATTTTACTCCAGTTAGATCTAAGCTTGAAAATGCCTTTTATTTGGAGTTCTTTAATATCTGTTTTCTTTCCTGGCACTACAGCCCCAGTGGACCTAGGCCTACCTCCATGAACTTCTCCGTTCACTTCGGTTTTTCTAGATCTTACACATTCGGTAGGACTCCTTGGGGGAGTGATCAGCTCGTCGCAAGGCCTCTACCTGTAGACAAACACAGAAAAACGCACACAAACATTCATGCCCTGAGTGCGATTCGAACCCACGAGCCCGGCATCCGAGCGAGCGAAGACAATGCATGCCTTAGACCGCTCGGCTACCGTGACCGGCTCTATAATATCTACTGATGCCAAAAACCCGGAATGCATCCAGTAGAAATTTTCAGCCCCTTCTTTTTTTATTTTTTCCCCATGTCCATAACAGTTATGCTTATGCTTTAGAGCATTTACAGGTGAGCACCTTACTTGTGAGAGGGAATCACTGTGATTTTTTTTATTGCTAGTGGGGTGGGACTAAGTCTTTTGTACTGCGGCCAATTCTGGCCTACTGTACCAGCCCCAGATGATAGGTGAGGGTGATTGTGGAGCAATTGGTGGAATGAAGATTGGCAGGGGAAACCGAAGTGCTTGGAGAAAACCTGCCTCAGCGCCACTTTGGTCACCACAAATCCCATTTGGCCAGACCCGGGATCGAACCCGGGCCGCCGCGATGGGAAGCCAGCGACTAACCGCTTGAGCTATGGCGCGGCCCTACCACCGCAATGAGTCTTCCTCATTCAAAATTACCTTGGTACTATATTCTGTCCTTCTCTTCTGGCAACAGTTGGACTTTGCGTCCTTGCTCGGTACATCAGGGACTCTTCCCTGTTCAATGTCTGCCCTTTAAGCAAAAATGTTCCTTCTGATAGATCCGCTTCAGTTGTTATATTATTTGCGAGACCTTGACTTATTTGGAGGCAAAATTGTTTCCCTTAATCACATTTTATGCCGGCATATTTTTAGTTGCTCCAATACTAACTGTATCAAATACAAAAACTGTATAATTTTTATCGCCGTAATTTACTTCTCGAGATTGCAATACTGAATTTTTCATGTCGTCTAAATGATACAAATTTCCTTGCTTTCTCTGCGTTGATGTGTATTTATTCCTTGCTTTTGATTTTGCTTACTTTACAATTGGCCTTTGTACTGCTCAGTAAGCACATAAATAAAGAACTGAATTATTATTATTACCTCTTATAAAAGTTTATTATTTAAGCACAAATTTTGTCTACGTTAAAATTCTTGTGACATTTCCTCAAAATGTCACACGGTCGCCATATTTGTAATTGTTGACTTAAAAATTATTTATCTTACAAAATATGCATGTAGCCCCATTGCAGATTAGATACACCCATTAAATTTAAAGCTATATATAAATTGCACTCAATGGTAGTTTTGTTTTAATTAGAAAAGGTCTTAGTAACGTTTGTATATATTTAAAATCATTCGAGTTTCTGTATGAAGAGCCGTGATAGTGCAGTAGGTACAGCGACTTCCTAGGGGCTGGGCAGCATAGAAGTCGGTTTTTCAGCCCCTATAGGGGCACAATTTTTCTCCTCTCCACGTCGTCCAGACCTGTTCTGGGGCCCACCCAACCTCCTATCGAACGGGTACCTTTCGGCTCTTTCCCCGAGAGTAAAGTGACTGGGGCATGAAGCTGAACAATCACCTCAAATTAGTGTCAAGTTTAAGAATACGTGGATCTATAAATCCTATACGCCACGGCGTAGTGCTGAATTAGTTAAGTACACGGACACTCTTACTTTTACCAGAGTTCTGTACTGAGAGACGCTGCACGCTGCTTTACCAAGGTGATTGCAAAATGTTACCATAGCCCTCCTTTTTAAGGGAATGCTCTGAGTAGGTTAGTTTACTGGCAGATCTGGTGGCTAAGAATTATTCGATACATCGAAAATGAATCAGAGACTCGCATATGCTGCAGGAAGCTACGAGATCATGCAATGGCGGGCGTTGAAGCTAAATGCACGTAGACTTCCTTGCTCAGGACTAAGACAGAAAGCTGCGCGCGTTAATGACCATGGCCTTCGTGTCCGGCAATGGCTCACTTTCTACAAGTGTAAGATTCGGGGTATGAATAGTTTCAACACAGCAGAAAACGAAGTTCATAATTCACTACCGGAAAAAAAAAGCTTTAAAATTAAGTGACATTTATTGAAGACCACGGAACACCTCGATCTCACATGTTATATACAGGCGATACGTAAAGGCAAAATTGTCCCTATGTTAGTTAAGCACTATGACATCAAGACTCCACTTTACTTGGTCTCGTCACTAGATGCAGGGGAGCGGTCAGCTACACGCCCCTCGAAGGAAGATTGCCGGTATCCATTTGATATTAGAGTGGTTGGGTCTGAGAATTGGTCTGGAAGTTGTGGAGAAGAGAAAAATCTTGCACTGCTGAGATTCGAACCCGGGCAGTCCATCCCGTAGTCAGTCGTTATACCGACTGAAATGTTCCGGCTCCAATGAATCAGGTGGTACATCTTCAGAAACTCTATTCCTGAACTGTCTTAATCTTTCCTATTCAGTGAAAAATTTATCCAGTTTATGAATAGGTTTCCACTATTTTATGCGTGTTAAAATTATTGACATATTGTATAAATATTTTTAAAGAGAACGGTAGAATATATATTATATTTAAGCATCCTGTTGCACTCCATACGATAAATGATATGAACTGCGTCCCAAGTGCAAACAATACATTATATGTCCTTGATCTTGCTCTCCTTTACATTACATGTTTCGGCCTCAAATGGCCATCATCAGGTGTATACACTCACGTTGCTGTTACACTGCACTTAGTTTAAAATTTAACATTTAAAAACACATTGTTCCTTTCCTTGTTATTATCAACATCTACTTCGTTGATGTCTGTCTGGCTTATAGATTATTTTTGTTGCACACGTTAGCACTTATAAGATCTTTAGTTCTAATTTTAAAATCCTTTAAAATTTTTCTCTAAATTTTAAAATTTAAAATTTAAAATTGTCAGGGTTGTTCGCCCTATGTGTATAGTGCTGCAGCGGCTAGTTCTTGTTTCCAGCACTGTACAGGTGTACATATAGGGAGCAGAAACAAGAACTAGCCGCTGCAGCACTATAGACATAGGGCGAACAACCCTGACAATTTTAAATTTTAAACTAAGTGCAGTGTAACAGCAACGTGAGTGTATACACCTGATGATGGCCGTTTGAGGCCGAAACATGTAGTGTAAAGGAGAGCAAGATCAGGGACATATAATATATTGTTTGCACTTGGGACGCAGTTCATATCATTTATCGGTAGAATATATATTCATCGCGTCGACAATAATTTAATTTTACTAATATTCCAAATATAAAACTAAAAAGATGCATAATTTACAGATTTATGACTCATTTTTGTGATTGGCTTACACAATTTCCTGTAAGACACGTTATTTAATATATCAAAAAACGTGAAGATTTGTCATGCTGTGTAATTAATGTCTTATGTTCGTATAATTTTCCTCGTACAGTCCTTCGCGAAAGTTACTTGAGTAGGAGAATTAATATCAAAGAGGGAAAACAATTGAGCAAAACCTTATAAATATATGTGCAGAATATTTTAATGGTATTCAACAGCCCCCCTTAATGTCTAAATGAAAAAGAAATAACGAAAAATCTCCCTTAATGACAACCAATCAGTCGCCTGAAGATGGAAGGAGAGTCTGATTTCATGACGTCATCTAATTGGCAACGGCAAAGTAACATTGGTATGAGTCTATCACTGTCACAACACACGATCAGAGAATGAAGGATTCGCAAAGATGAAAATCTGGGAGATCACAGTTAGTGTACGTATCATTAGACACAATAATCTGATACTTAATTAAATAGACTGAGACTTCTGGAACATCCGGCATTGTTACTTTGTAATTTCATCTATTCCAGGATGTGAACAAATCATTAAGAATGAGTTAGCATTGCAAATTATGAGGAAGGTCGTTATTTTACTTGCTGTAGATACTGCAAGCCACTGGATTATATATATATACGTATATATATTGCTATTTTGACGTCTTTAACGAGGGCACCTCGCTCCAAACACCGTAGTACGATATTAAAATTTGGCAGTTTACAAGGAACACTAATACAACTCCGAATAACAATCTTTAGTATAAGAAAATCACTGTTTCGTTTTCTTGTTCTACACACAATCAACTGCTGCACGACAAGCAGACTCTACGTACGTATATGGGATGTCTCGGGAGGAAAGGTCAGCATTCTGAGAGGTCATAGTATCGGTCATTTTAAGCAAAAATTGTATATGTGCATGCGTTCTGGGGTCACGCGATAGCGTAGTTGGTTGAGGTACTATGCTACAAGTCGGAAAGTCGCGGTTTCGATGCCCGATGAGGTCATTACATTTTTCAGTTGACCTAATCCTTTCAGCCGCACTATGACCCTTGGGTGACTCAGCCCCCAACAGAAATGAGTGCCAGGAATATTCCTGGGGATAAATGGCGGCCGAAGCTCAAGGTTGACCTCACTGCCTTGATCCCATTGTCTGGAAAATGTGGGAGCCTCGAAGTCTCACAAACCTATGGGTCTCCACGACCTGTTACAAGAATAGTTTTATCTTTATTATATTCGCCCCATTCTGAAAGGTTCCCGAGACAGAGCTATTTCACTGTAGAGTACACTTCACAGACGAGCAATTCGCCATGTCCTCACAAGAATTGCAGATTGCACTGGTATTAACTGTGGAATTTTTTAAAACGTATTATACTAGATAAACTGTACCAACTTTGTCACTTGAAAATAAATACCGGTACTAGAAATAGTGCGTAATACAATTTTCTTGCCAAAATATTTGGAACTGTACAGTAAAATAACTATCTCGGAAAACGTTCGGAAGAACACCTGTACATATACACTTTTCTTGCTTAGAATGATGATATTATGACCTTCCAAAATACTGACCTTTCATAATGGGACACCCTGTATATTTCGTAAACCGAATGTATAGAACCAAAAAATAGGGTTCAATGTAAGAAAACTCGAATATTTTCCTAGTAAGATTTGCGGTTCTGAGGACGGTAGATATGAAAAATACTAACGCCGGAGGTTTAACAGCAGACTGCACGGTGTTATAATGCAGAATGTAGAAACACTTCTAAAATTTTCTTTATTTAAATTGCTGGGTTCCAAATCCATAACCAGGGCTGCATTTAAGGGGGCCCCGAGCCTCAACAAAACAGAAATATAATCGATAAATTTTACTGAGACGTTTGCCTCACTAAAACAACGAGAGATAATTAGCTTTTAATTTATTATAAAAATAGTTAACGAGAGGAGCAACCATATTCTAATTGCCCTGGGACACTCAAAACTCAAAATAAGACCCTGTTCACAACCGAAATGAGAAGTGTTTAGTTGTTATCAACCCTCAAAAATGTGTTACTTATTTTATTGTCTATTCTCGTTCACAGCATTTTTAGGGCGCCCATATGAAACGTATAATTGATCACAGGATTACAATACTTCGAACATTGGCCAATATAGTCCTATGGGACAAAAATTGGAAGGGGATGAAAAGATATTATCACGTGTATGAGTGAAAATAAACTGGTGTCAAGAACTGTGTCAAGTTCGTACAGAGTAAGATATCACACTGATGCCATCTTCATGTAATTTATTATTCCAGGCACGTTGCCCTTGGAACAAGGAACCTTCTTTTACTTCCTTCCTCGTCCCTGTTAATGATTCTCATTGTTTAGAGAACTCATCACTATTATGAGTTGATGGGAGGGGTCAGCGTAAAGACACCTGATCCGAAGGTTGCAAGGCGCACGACGGGTGCCAGCGAATCGATTAATCGATAGAAAGAGGAGGCACTACTTACCAGAGTGCCCAGTACTCCGGTTCTCCCATCCTCAGTAGCACTCAGCTCAGTAGGACTTCAGGTTCGGGTGGAGTAGAGACAGAGAAGCGACTGCAATCAGACTATTGGGTTCCTCAGCGGTAGCGGAGATGAAGGTACGTGTATGTGTGTCTACTTCGTGTTTAAGGAGTTATATCGCTTTTCATATCTTTTATTTTATAAATACGGAAGTCTGGTAATTTGCTTTACATTTTGTGAATACAATGTTTGCATGAGGCATGTCTTTGGCTTGTGTATCTCAGAAGGAATTCTATTAATCTATATATTTCCGAATGAGGTTTACGAAATTATCTTCAGATTGGTATTGTGAAGATGAATCTGATCCGATATGCAACAGTGTCATTCCTAGGACAATGTCCAATGCAGTATTAGCATAAAAAATAAACCACTGTCACACCACCTACCAGGTTGCACACTGTGTAATTCAGAAGACCACAATATAAATATTGTTACAAAAATTTAGACGTTCACTATCATGCAATCTTAGTAAGAAAATAAATATTTCATAAACATGTGTCTGTTGAAGTTTATGCGCATTTAAATATGATTACGCCATTAATCTCTGGAGGATAAAAGGGATGTAAATTGTAAAATTTTTGTGAGAAACATGTTCCACCCCATAACTAAGTTTCAATGTCTTTACAGTCAAAGAATTTTTCCAAATATCTCCATATGATGTGATTCGGAAGATCTGAATTCAGAAGATCCCGGGTTCAGCTCTGAAAGGCGGCTATCTTGACTGAGGACTTTCGTGGTTCCCTTCAAAAATTTTGAGTAAAATAATAAAAGGGAGAAGCTTAAACTTAGATCGCTATCGATTCCTTCTACATTCTGCTATATTCATAATTTATTGTCGTCATAATACAGGACAACATGCAGACCCCTAAGCCATTAAATAAATTAAAAATCATATAAACGCCTGTGATCTCATTAGTGGGAAAGCAAGCCTATGTCGGAATCTAGCCATCTGTAGTAGACATCACGCAGAGGGAACTGAAGAAAATATTTCAGTTTCATGATGTTAGTTGCGGCCTTCTTGATAGCACAGCATTTGTTATGTTAAGNTTCATTCCTCAGTCTCCTGTATTTCCTCCTGCCTTCTTCATTGTTGACATTCTTCCATTTCCTTCGCTCCTCCATTTTACTCATCATCTCCTGTGTAACCCATGGTTTTCTTGCTATCTTCTCAACTTTACCTACCAAATCACTGATAGTATAGTAAAATAGGTTGATACAAATTTCGCTATAAGTATCCTATTTGAAAGAATAATTTGTGGCCTAATCTCAGTTGGATTTGTAGACTATTTTCTTTCCTACAACCGTATCGGGAGTTGTGTTTAGAATGCTGATATACTATTATATTAATTTGATATGAAGTATGACTGGAAAAGGGCTAAAGAACTAGGTTCGAATCTTAATGGTGGCAAAACATTTTTGCAAACGCTTTTAGATCGGCTCTGAGGTCAATCCAGCCTCCTACCATCCCGGTGCTAAAGGCTTCTTCTTGGGGGTAAAAGCAACTGGAGTGTAAAGTTTACAACTTAACTGCTTCTAATAACGAAGTTAAAGATACACGAACTTACCTCCATTTCTCAATATGATTTCGTGAACTGATAATTAAGAGCAGGGAAAACTTTAATGTAAGGAAAGTATTTTACAGTGCTGATATATAGCAAAATGGTTATTTTTATAAGATAAATTTTAGAGTAACATCCATTACAACATTCAATCAAAATCTGTCACATCTGAAAGACTAGAAATTTCGGACGAAAGGAGACGAGTGGATTCTCTATCATGAGTTAATTCATGTAAAGGTAAAAAGGTAAAGGTATCCCTGTAACAGGCGGCGGAGATCTGTAGGGTTGTGAGACGTCGAGGATCCCACATTTTCTAGACAAGGCTCACAGATGGCTGTGAGGCTGTCAGCTCTTTAACCCAGGAGGATTCCTGGTACTCATTTCTGTTAGCGGCTGAGTCGGCCCCAAGGACATAGTGGCGGCTGGAAGAATTAGGTCAATTGAAAAATCCAGTGACCTCTTCGGGAATCGAACTCTCGACACTTCGGCTTGTAGTATACTGCCTCAACTGACTACGCTACAGCGTGCCCCCAATCACATGCCAAAACAGGGCAATATTAAAAGCAAGCCTACGGGTTCAAATAGTTGTTAGCATTCACAATTTTCTCGTCCTGTGTCCTCTACTGGCGTAACAGCAGTGCAACCAGTTTCACTTTCACTGAGGTTCGACTTGTAAGTTCGAAAAATGTAAAATTGTCCTTGTGTTTAATTGATTAAGCACCACGCCATGAAGACGTAGCAAAATGGAGTTATAGCGCCACTATTCTTGACCTTAGCACTACATGGGAGTGGTCAGCTTCACGCCCCGCCGCTTGACCCCCAGGGAAAGAGCCTTGGGTGGGCCCCAGAACAGATCTGGACGCTGTGGAGAAGAGAAACTTTTCAAAGCCAGAACTAACTCCAAGTCCCTTTTGAAAAGTCCATAAAAGTACGTGACAAGCTAAGTACTGGAAGACGAAACTCCTTTAGTCACTTTTAGTTTGCCAACAGTGCAAAACGGTCAGTGATCTAATATTTTCTTTAATGTAAATACCTTACAGATTCCGCATTCACGCGGATAGAAATTCAATTCGACGAAAATTATATGACAATTTTACTAGCAGTGTATTCATGCTTACTTACTCATGGAGCTGAGCCCTTCTGGAGAAGCCGCCAATTCTGCAGCTACTCAAGAACTTCCCAGCATTTTATGGAACCCGAAGGTTCATTGCCGTGTTCACAAGAGCCCTCCACTGGTCCCTATCCTGAGCAGATCAATCCAATCCATACCATCCCATCCTATCTCTCTAAGATCCATTTTAATATTGTCCACCCACCTAGGTCTTGGTGTTCTCAGTGGTCTGTTTCCTTCTGGATTCCCCACCAATACCCTATATGCATTCCTCTTCTCCCCCATTCGTGCTATATGCTCTGCCCACCTTATCCTCCTTGACTTGATCATTCTAATCATACTTGGAGAAAAGTACAAGTTACGAGTATAGAATTAATAAATTAAAAAACGGCCAAGATCCAACAAAATGACTGTACAGCCATAGAGAGATAAGCAGGTAGGTAGGTAGGTAGATAGATAGATAGATATGTCCCTGGACAGGCGAGAATCTACAGCCATTTAGATGAAGGTTTCCCTTCATAAATACAATGCACTAATGAACACAGCTATTTTCCAATCCGTTTCAAGTACAGGCATGAAAATGAGTGGCGGAGGGGCGTGTGCATACAGCTGCCCGCATTCTTAAACTAGGCAGTGAAACGAAACAGTTAGACTAACACCCCGACCGCTTTAAACCTGAGGAAACAGCACCCGGCACCCAAAGAACACGATGCTGGACTGGCCACCAAACTCGTCTTACTTCGTAATGAAAACGTTATCTCTGTCCTTACCAGGAAACGAATCCCGTCCGTCCAGTCACAATACTGACTCACTGTTCCGGTTTCTATGTAAGGTAGAAGGCAGGGTTAAACCTCATCACTGTAGATGGATATTTGAGCCCGTAGAGGCGGTAATGGGAACACAGAAACACACTCAAAATAATGAATTTTGCCTAATATTACCTTCTTAAATAAACTGACGTAAATATATGCCTTTACAGACGAGGTGTGGCAAAGTGGTTATTAGTTTCGTGTAAGGTACTGACGGTTATTGCAGATGTCAACTAAAATACCCTCCTAAGGAATTCTCTTCACATTTTACTGTAGATTAAATTTCTTTTCTCTAACACTCCTCTAGTAATAAATGACATTCATACTTACGCCTATTTGTCAGGCAACTATTCGTACTTGCGAGTCGCGCGAGTCATATTTATGACTTCCTAGGGGAAAACTACCGTATTCTTGGTGAACAAGGAAACAAAAGGTCGTAGGTAGAAAGCAGGAAAGACATTCGCAGCTCTTAGAAATTCTACATACCTTCTGTTACTCAGCAGGGAAAACTAATTTAGAGAAACCAATAACATGTTCTTGTGGTCTGAAATATTGAACAAGGATGCATCATCCTCGTAATGGTAATGATGACAATCCTTCTATACGTATGAGAACGTTTTGTAACCATATGTGAAAGCTAACAAATTATGCAATTTTAGGATACCATAACACCACATTGTCGAATATGTAAGATTTGAAGCCTCCAGGGAGAAGTAATATATGTACTAAAATCTTCTCGGGCGATCAGTCGTGTTAGTGTTATGTAGAAACGTTTCGGAGATCTCTTCCGCCTCCATCATCAAGATCTATCAAACGCTGCTTTTCACGCAACATTTATATGGCTGATCTCCTGAGAAAATTTATTACGAATTGTCGAATGTTAACATGTTACGTAAACTTTAGTTAAATAACAGATCACGAATGAGAGAGCAGTCATCTGTTTCACTCTGTCTGTCTAATCCGTGAGTAATGATTATATTTCTATGTTCATACTAGCATTTGCAGTGTATTTAGCATTTATCTCGGAATGAGACGCAATTTATGGAGATTTAGACTGTTATTTCCTTTTCGAAATATGAACACAAAAAATATCAATATAAACCAGTTCAGTAAAATCGTGTCGAGAGCTGTGATCTGTCACCAACGGGATAACCCAAGTGGACACTTCACAGGTAACATGAAGGCAATATATCGATGTGGCTGATGGCATTCACATCACCACGAATATCATAAGACATGTGAGATTTGAAGTTATCACGACGCTGACTATGAACAATGCCTCCTTCTGAGATGTGGCGCCGTGTAGATATTGTGCACACCGATGTTCCTCGGAAACGTCGGTTTAAACAAAACTTAATTGAGCGGATATTATTGAAATGGATCTTAGATAGGATGGGATAGTATGGATTGTATTGATCTGGCCCAAGATAGTGACCAGTGGTAGGCTCTTGTGTGCACGGTAATGAACATCGGGTTCCATAAAATGCTGGTAAGTTCTTGAGTAGCTGCACATTTGTCGGCTTCTCAAGAAGTGCTTAGCTTCATGTAGTTAAATAATTTCATTATAAGTTTTGTCTATTCAATTTAGGAACGGTTTCCTCTGGAATCGAAGAGACTGTAAGATATATGAACCGTGCGTTAATATTCTTAATTTACCTTTGAAGTCAACGGATTATTCTATAGTGATTATAACGAAAATAATAATTAATTTATGAATCTATCAGAAAAAAAATTACTCCGATAAATTGAAATGAACTCCGCGTTACTGTAACGAAATATGTGTTTGCTGAAGAGTTTTCCTAGCAGTAAAATTCTTCCTAACTCATGTTCTCGACAATTCTTTTGAAAAAATTTAATTATTTAATAATATTCGAACAACGTATAGGCTCCATGCATCATGAAAGCCCCAGATAAATTCAAAACAAAAAATAATCAATGCAAAGACATTGTATATGCATTTTATGTACGGTTGACCTTGACCACATTACCATGGAAACGAAATCGATTGTTGCTCTGTAGGCGACATTTGCTTACCGAACACCTAATGCCAGCGAAATCACCTTGAGCAGTACAACAAAATCTCATTTTTGCGTTTGGGTCCCTAGTGCCTGCAGTTTTATTTTACTGAAATTCTGATTTTGGCTCCACATTTTTTGCACATAGACGCAAAGAAAAGCGGAACCAATTCAGATATGCTTAGTGCAACAGCCTGCTACAATTTAATATTATTTGCTGAAGGTGCAGCTTATGCAGTTTCCTCTGACAACGTGGTCTCCATAAACTACCAAAATTTATATAAAATCAGTAAATAACATTTCTTGTTGCCTGCTTCATACTGCTTTGTTGCTCGGCTGATAGGATTATTGAAATTAAGAAGGTTGAGATAAACACATGGACCGGGTCAGAATTATTTCCGACGGAAAGATACAGCTCCCCCCGCCAAGAAAAAGTGTTTGCATACTTACATTTAAGCCGCTTAAGGTATTTTTACTGATCACCCCAGAGAACTCAAGTTAGATTTTTTTAATACTTTTAAATTTGGTATTAATATTTCATACATCTTCTTCAAATTTGATTTTTCCTTTCAAATCGAGGAGCGTTCCCATGGTAACCGGCACTTATAGCACGCTCTGTAAATAACAAATTCAGGCTGTTCCATAGCTCAGGCGGTTAGTCACCGATTTGCCACTGCGGCGGCCCGGGTTCGAGTCCAGTCAGGTCATGTGGGATTTGTGGTGGACATTGTGACACTGGGGTAGGTTTTCTCCAAGTACTTTGTTTGGTTTACCCTGCCAGTCATCATTCCACCGACTGCTCCGCACTCCTCATCTATCGTCCGGGGGTGTTACAATAGGTCATTTAATGGCCGACGTACCAACTGGACTGTGTCACACCACCCCAAGGAACTAAGAACTAAAAATAACAAATGCATACACAAATTTGTTTGGAATATCTCGAGGTAAGAGGAAGACTATACTGAGATGTATCCACGTGGAACAGACTGTGAAGATGTGAAACTGATTGAGCTGACCTGCGTTAAGTTCTCTTGTGAACATGAAATTGACCTTCGAGGTTCGATAAAATCAAGCATTTCTTGGCCAGCTGAATAACTATCATCTTTTCAAACAAGTCTCTGTCCCTGAAGGCTCCTACTAGGATATGACCTTGCCGTAAACAGATGATTCTTTCTTACACAGCTCCACTCACACGTTGCGATGCCAGTTGCATAATGTATGGCACCAACATGGAGAAAACTGCATAATGAGGAGCTTCATAACTTGTACTGTCCTCCAAGTATAATTAGAATGATCAAGTCAAGGAGGATGAGGTGGGCAGGGCATATAGCACGAATGGGGGAGAAGAGGAATGCATATAGGATATTGGTGGGAAAGGCAGAAGGAAAGAGACCACTGGGAAGACCAAGGAGTAGGTAGGTGGACAGTATTAAAATAAACACACCGCACCTGCACTAGTGAAGACAACACCACACGCTGCTAGAGGGAACAACACAAAAGCAAGGGGCACGTGAGTATAATGCAATCAACATGACACAACATAAATAATAACAATCAGAGAACAATAATAATATGTGGCATTTTGTAGATTTCAGATTGCAGACGTAGCAAAACAACGGGCTAATGAAACAAACTGTCTGGAAAACACACATCACATAGCTTTAAACAAGTGGACGACGCCCCTTACGAGGTGGAATAGGATTTTACGAAAGATTTTAATAGAAAAAATGTAATGAATTTTAAGTAATTACTTATGTTATTTTAAGTGGACTGTAACGCACAATTTTAGCGCGCATCAAAGCAGTGTAACAGTTTAGACGCATTGAAACACCTGATGATGGCCCTCTGTGGCCGAAACACGTTGTGTTAGTGTTAAATGCTGAATATTTTAACGATTATTGCATTACTGACGGACTTAATACAGAGACATTTAATTAAAGATGTGCAATAGAATGCTGAAATACAGAATTAAAATGGATCTTAGAGAGGTAGGATGGGGTGGTATGGAATGGATTGATCTGGCTCGAGATAGAGACCAGTGGAGGGCTCTTGTGAACACGGTAATGAACCTTCGGGTTCCATAAAAACTGTGAAGTTCTTGAGTAGCTGCACAATTGGCTGCTTCTGAAGAAGGGCTCAGCTCTATGAGTAAGTGAGTGAGTGATGGTGATCATACTGGGGCACTATGACATTTGTTTCCTAGTAAAAATGCAAGACAGAAAAACACTTCTATCTCCTTCGCACAGGATCAATAAGTTGTCCCAGTGTACTGAGATTTTCTTGTATTCAATAGAGCCTGGAACAAACTCCGTGCAAAAACACTGTACTTGTCTAGGACTTGAGGCTCTAACATCGGTGGTTATGAAGAATTCTGAGATATAAAGCCGTGTAGAGAAGCCAATCAAAAATACTTCGAAATATAACAAATGCACCCTGGTATGTAAACAACCTAACGTTACATACAGACCTAAATATACCATACATCAAGGACGTCATCAGAGAAAAAAGTACCTCACATCACAACAAACTAGCAAATCACCCAAACGACATCCTACAGCCACTCGTCGAACCGCAGCACAATCGAAGACTCCGAAGACACTGGCCAGCTGACCTAAAAGAGAACTAATGAGGAACCTCCCACTGGGGAAGGGTCTCACCATGTCATTAAAGAGCATCACAGCACTTACACCAGCAAAGTAGCTTATAGAATTGTAGATTCTGATTGCTTAATAAATAAATAAATAAAAAATAAAGCCGCGTATTCCGCTGAAAGTCAACCGACCTTTAGGAGGAATATGTCGGCACCATTTTCAAAGTCGAAGAAACCAACATGAAGCTTGCTACATGCTTCATTCTGGATTCTTATTTGGTTTATTCTTCGGCCCTGGATATGGAGCCGACATATTTCTTCGAAACGCCGTTGATTTTCAGCTGACTGCACTGCGTTATATCACAGAAGATAGACGTCTTCAAGAATTAAGGATGTGCTGCCATCATCAGGTGCAATGTTCCATCAGGCAGTGCTTCTAAGTCTGTGCCATAATTCCCTACACTTCGCCAGATCATAGGGATGTTAAGCAAACATCCGAACAGAAATAAGGAAGTTTCCGTCACACAAACAAATGGTTTATATTGTGTAAGATTTGAGGTTTTCACGGCTTCAAATGGTTGTTATTATTCGGTTCACAATACATTTCGGCCCGTATAGGCCATCATCAGGTGATCTTGAGGTATATAAACTACCATTACGGGATTTTTTGGTTAACTTATATTAGCAAATTAATTTACGTAATCCGTCAGCAGCTGTGCATTCCTGAAAGTCACTTGATGATGGCCTACACGGGCCGAAATATGCTGGCAATTGAATAATAAAAATCCATTTGTTTGCGTGACGGCAACTCCCATATTTCTATTTAAGTACCACAAACAGGTGCAGCGCTACAAGAGCCGAACACTTATCGCACTCTGTCATGTGCTTCTGGTTGCAGGATTTGGCAATACTTGTGGGTGTGTGCGGGCTACTGCTGATGGCCGGGACTGTCCGATGTGTTGTACTCATGACGGATCCGTTTATGACCCGTCTGGTTGCCATCTCTGGCCAAGGACACGCATGCGTCGTGTACAATGATAGGTAAAGGCCGATAGTTTCCATAAAAAGGTAAAGCTATCCCTGTAACAGGGCGTGGAGGCCTATAGGGTTGTGGGACGTCGAGGCTCCCACATTTTCTCTAGAAAATCAGCTCACAGATGGCGGTGAGTTTGTCAGCCTTACTCGCCGGCCGCCCTTTACCCCCCAGGAAGATTCCTGGTACTCATTTCTGTTAGAGGCTGAGTCGACCCCAGGGCCATAGTGCGGCTGCAAGGATTAGGTAAATAAAAAAAAATCCGTGACCTTCCGGCTTGTAGCATATTCCTCAACCAACTACGCTACCGCGTGCCCCGTATGTTTCACCATAACGAATACAATTCTTAACGGTATAGTTCAAATTGCTGTCCCACACATTAAGACCTATGGGAAGAGGGGGCGGAGGCATAGATCCGCGTGTTCTTAACCTCGTCATTACACGGAGATGAGTGGTAAGCTTCACGGTCTGGACACTTTAACCCAGGTGAAGGAGTCCTACGGTACCTATTTGATAGGAGGCTGGGTGGGACGCAGAGCCATTCTGGACACGAAGGAGAGGAAAAAAACTCCTGCTCCTGCAGGGTATGGAGGTCCGACTCCTCGGTCATCCGTCCCGTAGCCTAGTTAAGGTTCGGCCACACAGAACGCTACGCTATGTTCGCTACGTACGCTACGTACGCTGTGTACACTCTGCGACGCAGCTAACATAGGGAACATAGCGTACGTAGCGTAAGGAAGTCTGTGTGGCCAGTCACATTGCTAATACAGGGAGATATTTTTCTGTTCGTATAGCGAACATAGCATATGTAGCGTGCGTCGCGTACGTAGCGCTCTGTGTGGCCGAAACTTTACTGTACCAGATGAGTTATCCCACAGCTTATCCTGCAATTATTACGAGTATTTTCCCGTGTAAATCTGTTGTAACTGCATGTTCTGTACTTTGTGTCTGCAAAACGTGTCCATGCAGGTCTCACAAAATATTATGAACTCCACAAACACGAATTCTTCTTCTTTACTCGTGCTACAGCGCTGTTTGGGTCTTGGCCCCCCTCTGTGGTTTCGTAACAGTAAATATTTCCGGGTTTGGGTCCTTAGTCTCAAACTAAAATCCAAACCTGTAGGACCAGGAACTACACTTCGTTTGGCCCATACCCTTTGACCTGCCTGGCATGGGTGGCTATGCCAGAGGCTTATGCTCCAGCCGGCATAGCTCTGTGCTTCCTTGGTGCACACAAACTTCTCTCCACGACAAGACGGTAATCCTCATTAGAGGAAACAAAAATGTTTTTTGCACGAATTTTTTTAGAGTACGAATGAACGGCAAGCGATTCGTTACCAATATGAAGACAGAATGTTTTCTAAACAATATTCAAAGATTCAGTTCTCACCTCATACGAAACACTTTTCCGTTCTTTTATGAAGGCCAGTCTGTTAATGCTGATCAGGGAAATAATCTCACTTTATTCTGAGAGTAATAAGGTAAAGTTGTTTCTATACTTAACTAATTAAGCACTATGCAATTAAAGCGTATGGGGGCGTGGATGTATAGAGCCACATTTTCTTGACCTCGGCACTAATTGGAAGTGAGTGATCAGCTTCACGCCCCTGCCACTTTACCCCTGGGTAAACAGCCCCCGTTACCCATTGGATAGGAGGTTGGGTGGGCCCCAAAGCAGGTCTGGACGACATGGAGGAGAGAAAATTGACCCTACCGGGACTTGAACTCCGTCCCCTCGGTCGTCCAGCCCGTATCCAATCGCTATACTGACTGCGCTATCCCGGCTCCTAAGAGTAATATGAAATATATAAACACCGTCTTTGGGCACATGAAGAAAATTTTAACGTTAAAGCACGTGGTACGTACAGTAGCACAGTACTGTGTCAACAAAGGTGGTAATTCCTGATTTTCTCAAAATTAAGAAATTGGTGTTTTCGCTGAAGACAACAGAGCAACTCACATAAATTCTGTCATTTGTCCTTGTGTCGCGCATAACATAGTACACGCGTCTGTTGTTCTCTCAACAGATCTGTAATAAGGAGGATGATTCTGGAATCAGACCCTACGCTGGTACGTGAAGTGAAGCCAGCTGATCTAACCGCCGTCGCCAAGGCATGTCGCAAAGAGAGCGTCTCACACCGTCAAGGCCAAAGAGGTTTCATATATCCAGGTAAATATTTCCAGTATTATTGCAATCATCATCTACTTCAAGGTAGGCATTTATTTGAGTGATCTGTCTCAAAACCAATCTTCCCGTCCTCTTCTCGAACGTTCAACATGTTTTCGTCTGTCTGGTTTTTAATTCGTAACTTTGCAGAGTCCATCCTTGAGATGTGGTTATAACATTTGTTTTTATCACAATTTCCTTATTTTGAATAAACGAAAGAAGGCTTATGAGGTCACCTTGCTGTCTATCGGTGTATCAGCCTGTATCTGTCAAGCTGTCTGTTTATCCGCCCTTGTATCCCCCAGTTTTTGTTATCAGGCTCAAGAGATCACCCTTCTGTTCGTGTGTCGATGCCCCCCCCCATAATTTTTTCGTTTTCTGTGGGTCCTCATCTTATCAAGGGGGTTAATGAGACTGCCTCGCTCTCTGCGTGTCTCCCGTTTAACTTTTTAATTTTCTGTTCAGTTGTGTCAGATCGAGGGCAAGCAGGTTAGTTCTTTAACTTCCGTCCCGACGAAGGAGTTCCTTGTTTCCTCTGTTTTTATGCAAATGCTGAGATGGATCTCAAGTTTCGAGTTACTGCCGCATGCTTCTGATGCATCCCTTCCGTTTTAAATTCATCAAAATGAAGCTCCATTTCTGTCAGAGTAACTAAAATTATTTTTTTTTCCAAATTATACGTCTACATTAATTCAGGAATCAAAATTCAGCGGCCCCTGCCTCAGGCTACTCATTCAAACCATTCTAACGTCTTCACTTCCACTCTGCCCTTATAATACGGAGGAGACAGAAAACGAAAAAATAGGAGAGGGAGGGGGCACCGAAACACGGATAGCAAGGTGATCTCATAAGCCTCTTTTTTTTGTGTCTTTCCAAAATAAGTAAATTAATCTAAATAGAAATGATATAACCACATATAAAGATGAGGGCGAAGCCTGAAAATCTTCTAGCAAAAGATGCTCTTTTCTCACTCCTCACCAATCAGTCTTCCCAGAACTTCTTGTTATAGTCGTGTTCTGTATGCTAACACATACATACATACATACATACATACATTTGTAAGGCACCTCGTATTGGAATTTCCTTACATGGTCTGTAAGTGCGCATCCAGTTACACGCCTATGAATATAATATATAATAGAGTCTACTACTCTAGCAATTAAATGTTCTGACTTTAAACCCAGGCTAGTGAACTTTCTTCATTCATTCATCTGTAATCTGTCAAGATGACAGGTCCACAGTCTCTTCCAAAACAGTTCCTCCACTTAATGCGATCTAGAGCTTTCTCCTTCAACTTGCTTAGATCCTGAAATATGTAGATTATTAAACTAGCCTTCCGGGCCTAAGACCTGATCGGTCATCATTCAGAAATCGTATCCCCATGTCAAACTGACACATGACATTACTAAATTGTATGTCAATTGGTTTAAAATTGGATCAGTTGAATTGATTACTCTCAGTGGTCAAAAGGCTTCACAATTTGTACTCTTCACTAAACATTATTTAGGTAGCTAAAATAAGGAGAATGAAATCAGAGGGTCAGTGAGAAATGTGCAGGAAATATTAATCGCAAGCCTGAAACATACCACGTCTGGGTGTCATGACAGCATAGTATTAAGGTGAGTTTAAAGAAATAGGGTGATCCAGTGTGTACTAGGTTCATCTGGTTAGAGATAGGGCCCAGTGTGTACTAGATTCATGTGGCTCAAGATAGGGCTCAGTGTGTACTAGGTTCATCTGGCTCAAGATAGGGCCCAGTGAGTACTAGGTTCATCTGGCTCGAGATAGGGCACAGTGTGTACTAGATTCATGTGGCTCAAGATAGGGCCCAGTGTATACTAGGTTCATCTGGCTCAAGATATGGTCCAGTGTGTACTAGATTCATCTGGCTTAAGATAGGGTCCAGTGTGCACTAGACTCATCTGGCTCAAGATATGGTCCAGTGTGTACTAGATTCATCTGGCTCAAGATATAGTTCAATGTGTACTAGATTCATCTGGCTCAAGATATGGTCCAGTGTGTACTAGATTCATCTGGCTTAAGATAGGGTCCAGTGTGCACTAGACTCATCTGGCTTAAGATAGGGTCCAGTGTGTACTAGGTTCATCTGGCTCAAGATATAGTCCAATGTGTACTAGATTCATCTGGCTCAAGATATGGTCCAGTGTGTACTAGATTCATCTGGCTTAAGATAGGGTCCAGTGTGCACTAGACTCATCTGGCTCAAGATATGGTCCAATGTGTACCAGATTTACCTGGCTTAAGATAGGGTCCAGTGTGCACTAGACTCATCTGGCTCAAGATATGGTCCAGTGTGTACGAGATTCATCTGGCTCAAGATAGAGTCCAGTGTGCACTAGACTCATCTGGCTCAAGATAGGGTCCAGTGTGCACTAGACTCATCTGGCTCAAGATAGGGTCCAGTGTGCACTAGACTCATCTGGCTCAAGATAGGGTCCAGTGTGCACTAGACTCATCTGGCTCAAGATAGGGTCCAGTGTGCACTAGACTCATCTGGCTCAAGATAGGGTCCAGTGTGCACTAGACTCATCTGGCTCAAGATAGGGTCCAGTGTGCACTAGACTCATCTGGCTCAAGATAGGGTCCAGTGTGCACTAGACTCATCTGGCTCAAGATAGGGTCCAGTGTGCACTAGACTCATCTGGCTCAAGATAGGGTCCAGTGTGCACTAGACTCATCTGGCTCAAGATAGGGTCCAGTGTGCACTAGACTCATCTGGCTCAAGATAGGGTCCAGTGTGCACTAGACTCATCTGGCTCAAGATAGGGTCCAGTGTGCACTAGACTCATCTGGCTCAAGATAGGGTCCAGTGTGCACTAGACTCATCTGGCTCAAGATAGGGTCCAGTGTGCACTAGACTCATCTGGCTCAAGATAGGGTCCAGTGTGCACTAGACTCATCTGGCTCAAGATAGGGTCCAGTGTGCACTAGACTCATCTGGCTCAAGATAGGGTCCAGTGTGCACTAGACTCATCTGGCTCAAGATAGGGTCCAGTGTGCACTTGACTCATCTGGCTCAAGATAGGGTCCAGTGTGCACTAGACTCATCTGGCTCAAGATAGAGTCCAGTGTGCACTAGACTCATCTGGCTCAAGATAGGGTCCAGTGTGCACTAGACTCATCTGGCTCAAGATAGGGTCCAGTGTGCACTAGGCTCATCTGGCTCAAGATAGGGTCCAGTGTGCACTAGACTCATCTGGCTCAAGATAGGACCCAGTGTGCACTTGACTCATCTGGCTCAAGATAGGGCCCAGTGTGCACTAGACTCATCTGGCTCAAGATAGAGTCCAGCTGTTGTCTCTTGTAAAATGGTAACGATTACGATTACGATCTCCTGAAGGATGTGACTACTTCTAGTTTAGCAAAAAGAAAGAAACGCGTCGGAGATACTTGCTAGTCCATTTTCGGTGTAGACGAGTAGTAACTCCCTGCCAAACTATAAATACTTGTCACATTCTAGAAAAGTGTATTCTTGATACCGCCATGGGAAACAATTACCTTGAAAATATATCTCCTGTTCCCACAAGAGGCCGGGACTTCTTAGACCACTTGAGCCGACGTTAGCTTCCCAAGAACGAATCTGTTCCATTGAGTTAGAAATTGAGTCAGACTGACATTTTATGAATTTCGTTTGTCTGTAGACACAAAATGGTGTGGTCCTGGGAACGTGGCGCTGGACTATGATGACCTAGGGGCATACACGGAGGAGGACAAATGCTGTAGAGATCACGACCACTGTCCGGACCAACTGGAGCCCGGACAATGCCTCTATGGACTCTGCAACAACTCACCCTTCACCAGGTACGTAGCATGTCTTAAGGGTATGAGAAACTAGAGTAATAAGCGCGGATGCTTTCGTCCTCGGGTTCATCCATTAGCGTACGTCCACTTGTCGAAGGATAACGGCGCTCCGTAGTCTTCGATGGCTCGGTCGATGACATAACATTCTGCCTCCGTCTGCTTCTATCGTCGATTTGTCAAGTTTCCCTTAGGAAAGATGGAAATAACTCTTTGTCGCAAGGTCGTTAACGGGTGGTAAGTGGGAGTGGTACTGATGTAGGATTTTCAGACGGAAATGGAAATAATTGGTGAACAGGGTTTGGTGCTCAATCGGGACGGGGTTCGATTAATTTCATATGCCACGAGCTAGTAGTACAAGCCTGTCAGTCCGACTGAACCAGCTGCCCTTGGTCAGGGATTTCTTATCGCGCTTTGCACTGTCACAATTCTCTGCAACAGGAGATATTTCTACGGGCTCATGCGTTTCACTAACATTTCCCCACAACCTCCTTGTACAAATCTCCTCTCTCAACTACCCTCAAGTGCCTGGGCCCCCCTTTTATCTTACCAAGAAGTAGACATTTGTTTAAAGTAAGGGCTGCTTACTGGCGGCCCTATGGGAAGGCGTACCATTCCCATCTTCGGGTTTTGCACGGAGAGGCCGGATTTGCTCATACGCAAGTTAAAGAGACTGAGAAGAAACCAGAAGCAGGGATACGGTTTCTGCAGTACTTCTGTGCTGTATTCGAAGAAATTAACCTCTTACAACCCCGTGGGTCTGAATAGTACCATCGGCTTTAAAGTACTAACAACTCTGCAGTCTGCCCACTTAATGTACTCGTTTGTTTCGTATGGTTCTCACAGTAAACAGCGATCTATTCCTAAAAACAAATATAAATCACTCCGTCCAATGTGACCTGTAAGTTTTTTACTACATGAAAACTTAACACCCTTACATGTTTCGGTCTCTGTGCACCATCTTCAGAGGGCAAACATCACTACAAATAGGAAACCACCATCACATAAGTTGTTTAGACGTAAAGCACGTACACTTATATGCTACAATACATAGTACACAAAATTGAACATTTCACAAACACAGCAGTTTCCTGGGAATGTAAAGTTTTTTATAAAATTGTATAAAATTTCTTGATGCTAATTAAAAAAAATATATATATTTTTTAGATTGTCAATAATTAAAATTCGTAAACCATGCAGGCTCGTGTTCGTCCTCCCATCGTCCCTCTTATATGGGGCAGATATTGTGCCACCTGACTATCTTGATGTGGAGGTTCTTTATATCGTCCAGGCTTTGCGCATGGCTGCTGTGCTGTTTTCACTAAAAAGCTTTATACAGTTGTTTGTAGCTGAGTGGTAATGTATTTCCTGTGAGGTACGAACTGAATTTTTATATTGTTTAGAAGTAATTCTGTCTTTAACTGGTTAATTGCTATATTGGCATATGTTTTCTTGGCCGTACCGATGTTGAGAAACAGCTAGACAGGTCATTTATTGGCGTGGAAAGTTCTCTTCACGGCATGGTGCTTAATTAATTAAGCCCAGGAATAACTTTACTTACTTACTTACTTACTAATGAAAGCGGCCTCCGTAGTCTAGGGGTAACGGTCCCACCTCATGACTCAAGGTACGCGGGTTCAAACCCGGCGGAGGTCGTGGAATCTTTAAGGGCGGAAAAATTCAGGGAACAAGTCCTCCTGGAGGGACTTTAAGCCGTGGGTCCCGTGTCGTAGCTTTACAGCACGTAAAAGAACCTCATGTCTCAAGGAGACTTCTGAGCCAAATTTGTAAGGACATTTCCCGCCCAACAATAGTCTATAACGCCTCTGGTATATGGGGGAAGCATCTAGATACCGCTGAGCCAGTAGAGGCCGAACTCGCTGGCTGAGTCGGGACTGATAGCACGCACCAGTACCGGTAGGGTATAGAGACTGGTAGAATATCACAAGGGGACCTACAATAGATCAAACTGGTCGCGGTGCATGGGGAAACCCACCCCCTCCAATAATAATAATAATAATAATAATAATAATAATAATAATACTTACTCATGAAGCTGAATCCTTCTGGAGAAGCCGCCAATTCCGCAGCCACTCAAGAATTTCCCAGCATTTTATGGAACCCGAAGTTTCATTACCGTGTTCACAAGAGCCCTAGACTAGTCCATACCCTGGGCCAGATCAATCCAATCAATACCATCCCAGCATGTCTCTCTAAGATCCGTTTTAATGTTGTCCACCCACCTACGCCTTGGTCTTTCCAGTGGTCTCTTTCCTTGTGTCTCCCACCAGTATCCTATATTCATTCCTCGTTTCCCCATTCCTGCTATATTTCCTGCCCACTCCTTGATTTGATCATTCTCATTGTACTTGGAGTTTACCTTACTTATTTTTGGGCCCGTTGGAAAGAGGTTATCTCAGTCACATCCTAAGACAACAAAACAAGTGTAAAGATAAATTTGTCTCTGCGTTCAAGCAACACGCCTTTAAGATATATAGAGATCGGCATTGGTGGAAGGTGTATAGTCAGTTTCACGCTCCGGGCGCCGTTGCTTGCAACGAAATAACCGATACTCGTTGGATGGGAGAATGGGTACGTTACAGAGATTGTATCAGGCGGTGAAACGGAAAACGGGGTACTAAGAATAGGAGCTTAGAGCGGATGAGGCAGCATGAGGTAGCATATCAGTAGCATGACTGATACATGAATATATGTAAACAATAAAGGAAATGGCGTAAACTAGTGGCAACGCTTCTGACCAATGGATGGCAGTGGCAGACTTCCGGGAGTTTTCCCAGTTGGCTGGTGACGTAAGTTCGTAAGACTTGAACACATGCAACCTCTTACTCTGCACACGACTTTGTCTGTCTGTCTGTCTGTCTGTCTGCAATCTCTGTGGCGATACGTATTAACTTTCAGTAGCGTCCTCATCGAAATCACCGTTCCCTGATCAGGCAGGTATTTTCCAAATGCGTTCTTCGCGATTTTACATATCTCACTGCCCTTGCTGTCGACTGATTACATAACAGACTTGTCGTTACATAGCTAATGGATTTACAGAAATCACACAGCAGAAGACAAGAAACGGTTTTTCTCTGAATAATGCTGTATTCTAGAATGTGACACTGTATATAACAAACTCCATGGCCTGTAGTCCGTCAGCGAACTATACCGACCGAGTGACCGCCGCTTGTCGGCAAAGTTAGTGCCAAATTTTGCGGATAGAGGGTGTCACGTGACCAGCACACGGATCCCCACGGCCGTTAATCTCGATTTTTCTATATCGGAGCAGCTATTTCCTTGAAATAGCTCCTCAATTATCATCACGAGGCTGAGTGGACCCCGTTCCAGACCCACTATTTCTCAGAATATCTGGTATCGCCGAGAATAAAACACGGGACCTCTGGATCTGTAGCCAGGAACTCTGACCAGAAGACCATAGAGGCGGTCTGACACTGTATAATGTGGTAGAAATTTACAGGCGTTTAGGAAAAAAAAAGTGCTATATTTATCTCTTTAACCCGTCTTCTACAGATGAAGGTATTACGTGTCTTCCTGAATATCCGGAAATATCCGTCAGACGATATGACGTCACATTCCAGGAGACAATAATCAGCAAATTCTCAAACGTGATACTTAAAATCTCACTTTTTTTTAGCACATTTCGTTATATAACCCGTCCGGAGATAGGGACTAGCTCTATCTATTAGGCCCAACTGAGCATGTTTTACCTGAAGACGGAGACAGAATCCAGTCTCCGAAACGTTGTGTTTTGAAAAATAAACAGGACGGTTTTTAGATATAGACAAGACGATGGATAATGCCCAAAAACATAATACTTGAATTAAATGCATGTGCTTGTTGCAGGTCGCACTGTGACTGCGATGCCAGGTTCAGGCGGTGTCTGCAGTCCCTCAACACCGACACGTCCAACACTCTGGGCGCCTTGTTCTTCAATGTCGCTCAAGTCACTTGCTTCACCGAAAGCCGACCTTGTCCGCAGCTCATTGAGTAAGTTTCCTATCATGATTTACTTTTTTACTTTTTACTAGGGCTTACGAACAGATTTTGATTACTGTCGAACAGTTGCGGGCTAGTTGATGTGGGTCACTCTCTCTGACGAGAGGACGGGTCTGTCGTTTACAATTGCTGCTGGCATTCGCCAGCGCAGTCATTCTCCCTGTCCGAGTCCCACTTTACTGTTTCAGATTCGAAACTTCCCCTATTGTCGCCTCCTACGAATCGCAGGGCTATGGTGGAGGTATTCGACCTCGCCTCCACACGGGATTATTCTCACTACGTCTTACAATATTGTTAATCTGCTCTTGGGAGAAGAAGCATGCAAATAAAAAGCATAGCGAATTGTGAGGAACAGCATAATCACAGTCCGTACATTCATGGGGCTATGTAAGGAAGTCATTCATACAGAGTGTACTGCAATTTCAGGAGGTGATTTCTAAGGGCATTCTGACTGACTGACTCACTAACACGTGAGTTTCAGTCGTCACTATAGTCAGAAGCGGTGAATCAAGCATGCAAATTCTTAGTTAAATCTTAAGACTAATTTTGGCATACAAATGGATCAAGGCAGAAGTAGCCTATATCTGTCGTAACGGAGGGTTTGCAGTCAATGTTTCTGAGACTCGTGAGCCGCAAACGCCGTGAGTCGTGGAGGATCTCCCGCGATATTATATATCACTATAACATGCAAACATGTGTACATATTTTAATAAAACGTCTTCAAAAAGAAAGAAAAAATACTACGTTTAATTCTATATTAAGTAAACAGGAATATTAATTTAAAAAATCTCTGTTGTAATTACATTGAAGTTTTCTGAAGTTTACGTGTTCCTATCGGAGCTTTAGTTGAAAATCAAGGTGAAAATATTATAAGCAGCGAGTTTTCCCTCCATATTTGACACTGAAACCAGTTGCACTACAAAGGACGAAGTGAAACTTGTCCAAAGATTCTACATATTTTGTGGAACAAGAAGGTCGATTACCAAATTCACAAAAGCCTCCAACTGCAATTTATTCTGAGCGCTGAATCCCGTACACACACTTAGTTCTTTAAAATCAATTTTATATTAATCTTGCACTGTGTCTTGGTATCTGAAGCTGTCTCTTTCGTTCAAATTCTTCGATGAAATTTTGTACCCATTTGTCTTTCCTTTCCGATGTCTGCTACATGTCCTACTCATCTAATCTTCCTTGACTTATTCACCCAAATCATATTTAGTAAGAAGGAAAAATTACAAAGCTCTTTGTTAGGCAGTTTTCTCCAGCCTGGTTTTAGTCTCCCTCCCCCTCTTAAGCCCAAATACCCTCCCCAGCACCCCTTTCTGAATTATTCTCATCTGTGCCCGTTTCTCTGAGTGAGAAACTGAATATTATCTGTCTACCAATGGCTCCACAGCCCTTGTGGCCTTCGGCCGCTCTATCAGTTCTTTAATCTATACACAGTTGGTAGGACTCCTTGGACAGAAGATCAGCCCGTCGAAAGACCGCAAACTACACACAGGAAAACACAGACACAGAATAAACGCACACATACATCTATGCCTCGAGTGGGATTCGAAACCACGATCCCACGATTTGAGTGGGCGAAGACGATTCATATTTTAGACCGAGCGACCGCTGTGTTCGGCACTGAATATTGTACCCACACAAACTAGTAGTTGAAATTAGAGCGCTGTACATTTTAATCGTAACGTTTCTAGACAAAAGAAAGGAAGACAGATTCTGAACAGAATTTAATATGCTCATAATTTTTTCGTGAATGTAATTTTAATTTTTTGTTCTCGTTCCGATGTGCTTCTTAGGATATCAGACTACAAACTTACTTACTTACTTACTAATGGAGCTGAGCCCTTCTTGGGAAGCCGTCAATTCTGCAGCTACTCAAGAGCTTCTCAACATTTAATGGAACCCGAAGGTTCAATGCCGTGTTCATAAGAGCCTTCCATTGTTCCATATCCCGAGCCAGATCAATCCAATCCATATCATCATATTCTATCTCTCAAAAATCCATTTTACTATTGTACACCCTCCTACACCTTGGTCTTCCCAGTGGTCTCTCTCCTTCTGGCTTTCCCACCAATATCATGTATGCGTTCCTCCTCCATTCGTGCTACATGTCCTGCCCACCTCATCTTCCTTGACTTGGTCATTCTAATTATACTTGGAGAAGAGTACAAGTTATGAAGCTCCTCGTTATTCATTTTCTCCAACCTCCTGTCGCTTCATCTCTCTTCGGTGCAAATATTATCCTCAACACCCTGTTCTCTAACACCCTCAGCCTATGTTCCTCCCTTAATGTCAGAGAACAAACTTTACACCTATACAGAACCACAAACAAAATTATAGTTTTGCATATATCAGACTATATATCATCCTAAAACTTTACAAGTAATATATAAATTTGAGTAATCATAATGTTACCAATAAACACGGTTCAGCAAATATTAAATAGGATTGTTTTGTTTGTTTAGCGGCTGCAGCTTTGGTTTTCGGTCTGTAGCAGCTTACACTGTGGCGAATGAGAGCCCTCGACAAACAAGGGCCCGAGGTGTCTTAGGTCTCTTGTCGGGAATCTGGTACAACATCTTGCGATACGCAGTCGGAACCACGTGACTTCCGTCATGTTCATTTATACATCCATGCCGGTGTTTTCCTTATCTATCGCTATGGATGCGTTCTGACAGCGCCTTCAAGGGGAACAATTCCATAGTAGTGAAGTTTCTTGCAGAGAGTGATAGATAGCATTACTCTTCAACCAGCATCGGCGCATCATNAAGCACATATACACGCACGGACGTCAATGGACTGACCTCAGACTGTCGTGTAGTGTTATTTGACCTTTGCCTTCGTGGCAGCGATGCCAGCAGCATTAGCGCTTGGCATCTTGGTTGGCAGCAATGCCATGTTGGAAGCGCTGCCAGACAGATGCCAGGTGCGATATATGACTACTAAATTACTACATTGAGTTTGGCCGAGATGCTGGCAGCTGCGCCATGGCCTCCTTTTGGCATCCTAGTGCGATACCGCTCTTAGTGCAATCGTCGACGGATTGAAAAATAAAAGCTGATAGAGATA